GAGCTTTCCACTCCAGTTATTGGTGGTCCTGCACTGATTTAACGGGTTTGCCTGTGAGCGTTCTCCGTCTTTGAGATCAAGCTACAGGAGGCAACGATTGCTGTTGTGTACTTCTTCCAAAAAACGCTTCTGGGGTGATGCATTTCATCAGGCACCAAGGTCACAGGGCTTTTCGGGTAGTAGAGGACTTTTTCAGTGTGACGCCTTCGTCGAGCAGAACCTTCCTGCTTCCAGGCTAAGTTCTTGACCGTGCCTTCCCTTCCTTTCTCCTCGTAGTTCCTCGACATCTCCGTTAAATGGACCTTCCAGGAAACCTTTCCGCCAAAGTACCTTCATTATGACTCCGAAACCTCTCGTCAGCTGATGTGTGACAAATGTCCTCCCGGCACCTACTTAAAGCAGCACTGTACGGCAAGGCGGAAGACCCTGTGTGCCCCGTGCCCGGACCACCACTACACAGACACGTGGCACACCAGTGACGAATGTCTGTACTGCAACCCAGTGTGCAAGGAGCTGCAGGATGTCAAGCAGGAGTGCAACCGGACCCACAACCTCGTGTGTGAATGCCAGGAAGGACGCTACCTCGAGGTGGAGTTCTGCTTGAAGCACAGGGCGTGTCCCCCTGGCTATGGAGTGGCACAAGCGGGTACGTATCAGCTCTCAACGCACGCAGCGTTCCTTAGGGTTGTGCAAAGTCAGGTTGTCGTGAAAGATTGGGGAGCCCTTTTTTGTCCTCCTGATGCCATTCCGGGACAGCACCTCGCCATGTTCACATGGAACCGACTAGGGATGGTCGGTACACCTGGACGGCTGTCCAAGGAACATTTCTCAAAGGAATGCTTTGCACTCCAGGGCAATTTAGTGACAAATCTCAAAGGCAGCAAATTGTTCTCTAATGAGATGCATGATGGATTGCTCTTTTTTAAAGGAACATGCAACACGTTGCACGCTGTCTGGTTGATAGATACTTCTACGTTTCACTTTCTCCTGAGTAGCTTCAAACTGCAGTTCTTTTTGACAAACATCAGAAATGTTAATTGATACCAGGAGGGTAATTGTGCTGATATTAATGAGGCTCCAGAGTACTAACAATGAGCGGTTATAATTAATTATGTAAAAAATGAGAACGGCTAGGGGAAATGCATTTCACTATTAAAAATGAAGCTAGTTCTTTCCCTGGCAGGAGAGTTGAGTGTCTGGGAGGGTGAAGACGGTAGCCGCGTCTCTTCAGTGAGCGTATTCTTTATCTCAGACAAAACAGATTGTCAAGCCAAGAGCAAGTGCTCATCCATAAACAATTTCCTGCATTCTGAACAGCGTGGGCTAGGACCGGTGTACATTGAACCTTTTAAATGAAGCCGCAACCCATGTTGTTTCTCTCCCATTCACAATGCCCCCAGCGAGTCCATTGCCTCTCGAGATGGGGACATTAAGAGCGTACCATTGCTGTTCTGGAGGAGAGTCATGTGAACGAATTCTGAATCCTCAGAGTAGAACAGGGTTTCATACACTGACTACGAATGGCATATGGGTTGGATACTTCTTAACTCTGGGGAGCTGTCCCATGCATGGTAGACTGGTCTCTCTTGACCCAGCAACACCCATTGTCCAGTTAGGGTGACCAAAAAGCTTCCCAGACATGCCAGAAGCATTCCTCCTGGAGAGCCACTGATTTAGAAGACATTAATTATTTGTAAAGGAACCCTGCTGGCCCAGTGGTCTGGTGCTGGACTGCCGACCTCAGAGTCTGCAGTTCAGACATACTGGCAGCACCTCACAGCTGAGTAACAATTTATGATCTTAAAGATTATAACTTAGAAACCCTATGGGCCAGCTCCATCCTATCTTTTGGAGTTGCAATGAGTTACAATCAGTAGTGGCGTATAGAATGTAACTTATTAGATGGCAAATACGTTATATTTAGAGCTTGAATTGCATGAACTTGACTTAAAATAACTCTACTATTATAGCTTGAGGGACAACTTAGCAGTATTTCCTTGTTTTATTGGATATTACTATGGGGCAACAAAGCTGAGCCAAGTTGTAGCAGGTTGAGGGTGACGGGGGTGGGGGTGGGGGTGGGGGAATCATCCAACACAAATAAATCCATTTTCATAATTGTGAAAAAATAAATAAAGCTATTTAATTCAATTCTCAATAAGTTATGCATTCAGGGAAATGAATTAAGCATGAGCTATGCAGCCTGAAACTAAAAGAGTCTGAAAAATAATGAGAATAGCAAGGATCTTCCTTGCGTAAACAGGAAAACTGTATTTGTGGAATGAAGGAAGCAGGCAGTCAGCAGACCGAGGGCAAGGTAGAGATTTTATTTCATGGCACCACCAAACCCAAACCCAACCACTGCTATGGAGTTCATTCTGACTCATAGCCACCCTTCACAGGGTTTGGGCGTGGGGTGTGGGGGGCTGTAACTCTTTATCTTCGTGCTGCTTCCTCTCATCTTCCAAGCCACTTGTTCCTAGTATTTTAGCAGGGAAAATGCCATAGAAGCTTTGTCCAGATACTCCAAAACTCACTGCTTTGAATCTTTGTGGACTTATAACCACCCTAGAGGACAGAGTAGGACTGCCCTGGTGGGTTTCCAAGACTATGATTCTTTAAAGGAGTAGATAGTCTTGTCTTTCTCATGAGGAATGGCTGGTGGTTTCGAACTGCTGACCTTGCAGTTAGCAGCCCAATGTGTAACCACTAGCTCTGCTTATATACTGTATGATGTAGTGTGAGTTCGACCTCGCTGGTAAGTTTGAATGACCAACCTCTCAGTTAGTAGACCAATGCCTAATCCCCAGTGCCACCCAAACAGGACCTACAGAATTATTCCTTCCTAACGTCCCACACAGTGGTTCCTCGTGGAGAATAAGAGATTTCCAGCCCAAGGGAAGGAAGGAATATGATGTATTATTCATATTCCTTATTAAATAATATTTATTCATATTTCTTCTTAAATTGTGTTTACTAATCTTTCATCTAGTTGTTTTCTTAATTTTTAAAACGTCAGAGTCCTTCCTCTCCAGAATTGATGTATTTGCTTCCTATGTGCTGACCGTCAAATTCCTCTGAGATCACTGCTCTCTAGTGTGGTAAATTTTGCAACTGTAAGGTAGACTCTTTCTCATTAGGGAGGTTCACGTTTTGCTTCAAAGCTTAACAGACTGTCAGTTTTACATGCCACAAGACATACACCTTTTGTTTCAATGAATCCACGCCAATCACCTCAATGCCTCATCACTTCTTTTCAGTAGATAGTATTTCCATTCTTTCTTTTTCCCTGGCCCTTTGTACGTCTCTTTTATCTTAAATGGTTGATTACTCTAACCTGGGGTAATTCCATTTCAGACATGAAGAGTGACTAAGGGCCAAAGTCTGGCATTTCCAAAAGCCTCTATCTGGAAAGTAAGCCCAGGCTCTTTTATGATTTTGAATTTTGTTCCAAATTTTTCACCCTCTCTATCCCAGACCTTCTAAAGTAATCCTTTCTGAAGAATGGGAAATGGTAGCTGGGCACCACCTAGTTTTTCTGGTCTCAGAATTTTCCGTTGCTATTAATAAGGCATAATCGTTTTATTTATTGATTTTATTTTTTATTTATTTATTGATCTATTTTAAAGATTCTAGCATGAAAGAGGGAAGTCCTATTCAAAGAGTTATTTAAAATAAATCTTCTGACTTGACTAAGAACATCCCTCCTATCATTTTTTGATTCCTCTTGCCAAGCAACTTTCACGACTTACCTAGAATAGTATTTTATGCACAAGACCTCAATAGGATGCCCAGGAAGAACCAAACACACATCTCTATTTCAAACACAAAGGCATACCTCAAGAATGTTTTTCCCCTGCAGAACTTGTGGCAAGGGGCTATAGGAAATTTTGATTCTTATTCTCAATATTTTAACAGTGAAAAAATATCATCGAAACCTTGTCCAAATAGCTCTGCTTATGATACTCTATGATTTGATATGGGGTTGGACCCTGCTTAAGCATGAGGGATGTAATAATCTTAGTATTAAAAAAATACCCCAAAAGACTTCTTTGTGAGGCAGAGGTTGCTAGGATATTGTCACTGCAGGGCTTTGGCATGGCATTTGATGTGCAAAAGTTTTAGGCCTTTGTTCTCCTCTCTCCTTGTTATTTACCACCCCTTAGTTAATCATACTGGTCCATGCATCACCAATCCCTTTAAAAAGGAAAGAGGCGGAAGATGAAAGTAGACCCAATCCTACCCACTCCTTCATTTTAAGCCGGTTTTGGTGAAATATACAATGAGTAGGAGGTTGACATTATTAATAAACCAAGTTTCAATAAATGAGTTTAATAAGTGAACTAACATTCTCTGTCTCTTTTGTACCTGTTATCCTGGTTTAGCACTAATTGGCCAGTAACAGCTATATTTGAACCTGGAAGTCTAAGTCTGTTCAGTTAGCTTACACTAGATGGAGATATTTTCATATGCAAATACACTATAATACATAACATGTCCATTCATAATAGAGTCAAGTATTTGAAGATACTTATTTTTAATAGGATTATTACTTGATGGGTTCAAGTTTTCCTACCAATGATTTTTCCAAATTTATCATGTATCCTTCTCGTATTCAATAAAAATGCTCCTGTACTCACCCTTCCCTGAAGCTTTTAACAAGCTTACGCTTCCCCACAACAGTTTAGGCAAACGGTCTATCATCTTCTATTTACTATGTAACTTAACTGCGGGCTTCCACTTTTGCATCCGTGCCCAACTTTATTACCCCCTTCAAAAGTTTATGGTAGTGTAGTGAATTTTTACTTTTAAGCTTAGCATAGTTATGAGTTACACCATAATTAGAATTCAGGCAAGAAAGACCTTCACTAGGAACCCACTGGAATTTAATGGCATGGTGTTCAAAGGGCAGTAATTTATGAAAATGATATTACTATAGCGGACACACAGTGGCAATCTTCATGATTTTTCCAGAAACCAGCGGGTGAAGAACCATGTAGAAAACAAGGCAGGGCTAATGACAATCCAACTCTGCCCGCTGTCTGCTGAAATTCAGGCAGTGTGTTGTAGGCGACAACAGCACATGGTGTTGGTGTGACGATGAGAGAAGACTGCTGAAGAGCTCGCGGTAGAAGCTTTATTCAGTCTCTCTCATCAACAGAAGAAGAAAAACACCTGAAATTTGGGGCAAGGTAACAGTAGCAGTGTGATGTGCGTCAAAGGTCTTTCTAGAACTGCATTAGGACAGTATCTACAGTGAAAATATTGGAGAGGAAGGTGCTAAATTGCTTGGTGTTTTCTGCAGGAACCCCGGAGCGGAATACAGTCTGCAAAAGATGTCCAGATGGCTTCTTCTCAAATGAGACCTCATCTAAAGCAGCCTGTCGAAAACACACAAACTGCAGTGCCCTTGGCCTCCTGCTCATTCAGAAAGGAAATGCCGTGCACGACAATATGTGCTCTGGGGACAGTGGATCAAGTCCAAAATGCGGAATAGGTAATTATGCTTTAAACAGCGAAGCCTTTGCAATGATTTGTGTATCTTTTTAGTTGAGCACAAGGCCCAAGGACTACCCGGTTTGTGGAAGTTTCATTTTCCTGCGTTTGAGTTGTAACCACCTAAGATTATTCTCTGTGCATCATTACTAAAACCACCATGAAAAATCCTTCCAAAAATTCGTTACCTTCTCAGAGATCACACTCCACATCCAAAATCTCTACCATCCCTTTTCATAGTCAAATCAAATAGCTTTCCTGGGTAGAAGGGTGATGTAAAGTTTGTGTCTGAGGCCAAATGAATAGTATCCACATTGCATGTGTGGGCTTCAAAAAGTCCATGGTAAGATTCCATCACCTTTCAATTCCATGTACCCACGAACCTTTTTAAGACTCCTTGTAGAATTTTTACAGTCATGAATTTTCCTTGCTTTTAAGAATGTCTATTTTCAGCAAAGTATAAATCAACAACCAGGAAGTTCAGTGGCACACAGATTTTAGAAATACACAGTTGGTGTTGTTCTTTGTGAAATTACTGCATCGATAGCATGGAAGTTCCAAATTTCGGAGGGTTGTGCTAAATTCTTTTCCCAGTAAGGGTCAGTATCACCAAGGTCAAATTATCTGCAAGCACTTGATGTCAGCCCCCGATCAGTACCAACACTCGTCTAGTTCCAGACCAGCCCCGCAGAGACCACAATGGTCACGTTGTTTGAGTAGTGTCAAAGTGCTCATGATCTGTAAGTCAAGCCATGGAAAAGTTTGATTCTGCTCATGCATCTGTTTGTACAAAATAAAAATTTATAAATCATAGGAATATGGGTTAGGGGACTTAGATTCCAACCCATTTTCAACATATTTTCACTATGCAATTAAGTCTCAGACACTTCATTTATGGTAGTTTGAGCATATAGCATTACCTGTTACACATTTTCCCTTAACCTCACTATTCCAGAACTATTGTACTGAATTGCATCATTTCTACACAATATATGTGTGGGTGAGTTGTTTGAAAAATAACTACATTGAGGAAACCTATGTGAGGCGGCCTTTCCTTGTTTTGTTTTTTCAAAGCCATCTTATTGGGAGTTAATACAGATATTATATCATTCTATAGTTGTCACATCAAGCAGTATTATACAATTGCTACCACAATCAGTTTCAAAACATTCTTTTCCTTCCCCAACTCCTTGACATCAGTTCCCTTTTACCCCCACACTCCGCGCCACTCCCCCCAATCAAGAAACCCTTATTCTACTTGCTCGCCCTATCGGTTCATCAATCCTGGGTCTCATCTACTGAAAAACAGAAAAATAAACAAAAATGCAAGAGGGTGATCCCCCAGTGACATAACACATCTGAGAAAGACCCCAATACGTCCAAACAAAAAAATGCAGAATATGCTGAAAACCAGGTCAGGCCTAACATGCATCAGAGGGGGATCTACGGACTCAGTTTTAACCGCTGTTATTTGAAGGATGAATTAAGGAAGAGAAATGAATCGCTAGGCATCTTCTAACTTTGACATCATTCCTTATTTTGCTTTTTATGATTCATCAAGCACATATGATATTAATGAACAATCATCTCACTATGAGCTTTATTCCTTAGAACCATATGTGAAGGTTGCCAAGGGTCCCATACAAGGTTTAAGCCGAGGCCTGACAGACACACCCCTGTCTTACACCTTGGGTTATGCTTGCCTTAACTAGATCCCCTGAACCTTGCACTTCTTTTCTAAGTGGCTTGTGTTTGTTTGCCTGTTTCACGTGTGTGTTCATGCATGCAGCCATGTCCTGCCTGTCCCCTAGAGTGGACTGTAGGTTAGTGGGCGTGCATACGGTATCATTCCACATTGCTTTACACGTGTGTTTTCATAATAGTTTGGAACTACCCTGTGGGCACTAAGCAAACCTTCATAGGATGGAATGTTGACATTAAGTTTTATAATTCATTTGGGGATGCAGTTTATTTATGTCAATATTCTCTTTGACATTTATTGGACTCTTGCCCCCAGAATGCTCACATGAGAATATGAATGAGCCCAGTTAGGTGGATAGTCTGCCACTAAGAGCAGCTCACAGAAGGTTGATTTTGTTCAAGCTCCGCATTTTTGCGCTCTTGGTATCTTGGGAAGCCCAAGTGCCTTGGGTTTAGAAATCTTTTTGTTAATGTCCAATCGATTTCCAAGACTTTACTAGCTGAGTAAATCTTCTTGGTTTTTCCCCTTCACAGATGTCACTTTATGTGAAGAGGCATTCTTCCGCTTTGCTGTTCCTACAAAGGTGACCCCTAATTGGCTCAGCGTCCTGGTAGACAATTTGCCCGGCACCAAAGTCAATGCGGAGAGTGTAGAGAGGATAAAAAGGCGACACAGCTCACAAGAACAGACTTTCCAGCTGCTGAAGTTATGGAAGCATCAAAACAGAGACCAAAACATGGTCAAGAAGATCATCCAAGGTACAGTAACCTGGGAAAACAAATGAGAGGCTCTTGTATCATAACATTGGACCAAGACGGTGTGCTAGTTGACTTGTACAGGTGATGACTCCCTCTGGAATCATTGTTGGACTGAGAAGAGCTTCCACCTGCGTACTGTAGATGCTCCTCTAAGCAGCCATCCGAGGTTAGGTGACGTTGCCCCTCCCCAGGGTTTCCTGTTGTGCTTTGTAAGTGTGCTGACTACTCTGAAAAAAGAGAGACTGTGTTTCACATGTGGGGCTAGATCTATTTTGCTTCCAGAGTGTTTTATTCGACTTCCCCTGGCCTCCCTAGGAGAAGTCCTTCAGCCACTTCAGGTCTCAGCAGGCATTTCTGCCTTGTATTTCTTCAGTAATTTTCTCCAGAGAGGCTCCAGGTATCTTACAAATACCCTCCCATTAATCCTCACAACGTAGCTTATGTTTAAATTACCATTTTAATAGCCTATGTTATAAGGATTAATGAGAAAAGGTCTGAAAACCATATAAAGTTCTTGGAGGAAAGAACTGGTTTAAAACCAAGTGCTCTTGTATTTTAGGAGGTTTATAGAGCATCTCCTCTAGAAAGAGTGAGAGAGATGATGAGGGAGGGAGTGTGCCTATTTGTGGTGGGGAAGCATCCCAAGGGAAAGCATGGGGCTCCTAAGTACAGCGTGGACGATAAGATTTAAAAAATACAGAGGAAAGGATTCCAACTTCAATTAGCATCAGAAGACATGCCCATACAAAATGAGGGAAGGTTTTCCTATCACAAACAGTGCCCATAGGAAACTCAAACTGTTCTTCACTAATGGCTACGTTACGACATAACCCTACACTACACCAGAGGCCTCACACATACGAAACCAGGGCACCAGATAGTAGGAGTTCCATGCTTGGCAGCGGAATGCTTTTGCTTGTGCAAAAGGGTAGGCCTTTCTTCTGCTCTTGGCAAGCCCAACGTGCTCTTTGAAAGTATAATTAGCCCTGAAGCGAAAAGGAAAGAAAGTACAAAACCAGACTGTTAGAATCGGAAGGATCCAAACCCCCCATTTTATAAATGAGGACAATTCAACCCAGAAAGATGAACTGCCTTGCCTTAGGGCTCACGTATACGAAATGACTCATGTCATTAATACAAACATTAGTTTCACTCACCCTTATGTTTATGCCGTACTTCATCACGGAAATAAATCCTCTCTAGCCTGTGTATATTCTCCAGTGCTTTGGCCTCATACTACTGGGTTTTAGATAGTCCCTTCAAACATCATGACCCCCTGATGTGATCTGATTTAATAAAGCATGGTTGAAGAAACTATTTTCAATCGTGCACGCACTCTGAGATCAACTAATGAGAGTTGGTATTACAAATGGATGTCTATTGTTTTGAAATGTTAGGGATTTAGTTTCAGAAATCTTATCACCTCTTCTTAGGGAACTGAGAGAATGCGTGTGATTTTCAATGGTTAATTTTTCAAAGTTAGGTGCTTCTCAGAAAGCTTTGGAATCGGGTGTCAATAATGCTTAGCTGCTAACCCAAAGGTTGGGGGTTCACGTCCATCTCAGGTGCACTTCAGAAGACAGGCCTGGCAATCTACTTACGAAAAAGCCACCGTTTACACTCAATGGAGTGAAAACGGAGTCCCCTGACACGTAGCATCTCCATGAGTTCGAATCAGCGCCCTGGCAACTGACGTAGCAAAGCTTTGTTGGATACCCAGAATGCATATATCCCTATTGCAGTACAAAATTATATTTACCTCAGCCCTCAGAAGCAGTGATACACAACCACCACCACCACCACCCCCCAGCACCAAAGAAAGCCCATCCTTTCAATCATTTCAGTCCTGAGAGAACCTTTGGCTCCAGGCTGGTTGTGTGGTGGACGTTGGATAAATACTAATCACATCGCCCTCTCTTTGTGCCTTGCTTTCCACAGACATTGACCTCTGTGAAAACAGTGTGCAGAGGCACATTGGCCATGTCAACCTCACCTTCCAGCAGCTCAGCAACTTGATGGAAAGCTTCCCGGGGAAGAAAGTTGGCACAGACGACATTGAAAGGACCACGAAGACATGCACGTCCAGTGAACAGATACTGAAGCTGCTCAGCCTGTGGAGAACGAAAAATGGCGACCAAGACACCTTGAAGGGCCTAATGCATGGACTGAAGCACATGAAAGCATACCATTTGCCCAAAACTGTCACTCAGAGTCTAAGGAAAACCATCCGGTTCCTGCACAGCTTCACCATGTACAGGTTATACCAGAAGCTCTTTTTAGAAATGATAGGGAACCAAGTCCAGTCAGTCAAAATAAGCTGCTTATAAATGGAAGCGGTCACTAGCCTGTTTCCTCCCTAGGAGTCAGATCCGATGGGCACGTGAACTGTTTCTCAGGCACTTGAAGGGGGTCTAGTGAGTCCTTTCTCACCACCAATGCCTACCTTTTCCCCCCACCCCCCAAGGCACTACATGAAACTATGATGTGGAGAAAGAACCAGGGCTCCCCAAAAGTTTAATAAACACCAAATCGTGTATCCACCTGTCAGATCTGGTCCAATAGCTACTGACTATATTTTCCCATATTACTGCTTGCAGTAATTCAACTGGAAATAATAAACTAGACTCTATTGTCCCTTACTAAATATGGGAATGTCTAACTTAAGTAGCTTGGAGATTTCAGCAATGCTAGAGGCTTTTATTAGAAAGCCCTATTTTTTTTTTCTGTAAAAGTTACTAATATATCTGTAACACTATTTCAGTATTTGCTATTTATATTCACTCGGATATAAGGTTTGTATATATTATCATCCGAAAGGGAAACTGTGTAAGACAATTTTAGAAAGAAAAAAAATATGTTCTGTTTATTATTGTGACAGGTGAAAGAAATGAAATATATTTTTTAACGGAAAGTGTGTAGCATTTTCTAATAGGTACTGAGATTTTTCTATGTGGAGTGTTTATATAATATAATTTTATCTGTATAAGCTGTTATATCAATGTATAGAACATTCATTATTTAGTCCCTTGTTTAATGTTGGAAAGTGTATGAAATATAAGTTATCTGAATATTAGATGCTCTGAGAAATTAAATGTACTTTATTTAAAAGATTTTATGATCTTACAATATAAGCAACATCATTAAAGTTTTCAAATTATTTTTCATTGCTTTTCCTCTGGTTTTCATTTGAATGAGACCCAGTCTTCATAAGTATCCTTGTTCTTGAACTTCTTGGCCCACATAGGAGATGCTAAATATGCAGATTCTGTGGGCCATATCTTGAACAACTTTGGGCAAGCAGTTATATCCATTTTTATATAAAGTAACTATATTGCACTCAATTTGGAGAACTTATGAAATCAGGCTTAGTATTACAGGTGGGGTGGCCCACTTATAGACCAAACTCATTAAATTCTTTTAGTTTCATGTAGTAGAATCTGACAGGACTGAAAGAAAAGAAGAAAATCAGCTAGGGTCGCAGTGAGTAGACACCCCATCCCACCCCCACCCTCAATCTATCTCCATATCCTGATCTCCAAGCCCTGTGAATTTGTACTTCGTTGGCCAAACAATGGTTTTTGCCAATGCTTAGGATTTTGAGATGAGGAGATCTTCCTGGATGATCCAAGTGGGCCACAAAGCCAAAGAGAGGTGTTTTCAGAAGACACTGACTTGAGAAGGTGTGAAGGTGGAATGGGAAGTTCGTACTTAATATGCAATGTGAATGCTGATGGATGATTGTGAGGTGCCTCTGAGTAGGTTTCAACTCATAGCAGCTCATTTCTGCACAGTCTTCCTCTAGGTGAGCCCACAGCTACAGTCACTGTATCGGTTCATCTGGCTGAGGATCTGCCTCATTTTGTTGCTGATCCTTTCCATTTCCCAGCATGAAGTCCTTCCCAGGGACTAGTTCCTCTTGATAACACCCCAGAGTATGTGAGGCAAGTCTCACTGTTCTTAGTTCTGTGGAGCATTCTAGCTATACTTCCATGACAAATTTGTTTGTTCTTCTGGTAAGCTATGGAACATACTACCCTTCATCAATGCCATAATTCAAAGGCACCAATTCTTCAGTCTTCCCTTTTCATTACTCAGCTCTGCATGCAAAGAAAACACACACACTGCCAGTGAGTGGCATATCTATGCCCATAGCAAATCTATATAGAGTGTCTGAGACTGTAAATCTTTACCGGAGCAGAAAGATTCATCTTTCCTCTGTGGAGTGGCCTGTGGTTTTCAAACGATGCCTGTGTTTCCATTAGCAACTCAACACCTAATCCACAGTTCTACCAGGTCTCCTTTTGAATTCCTATGAGGCAATCAAAAATATCTTGGCATAGGCCAGGCACACCTTAGACTTCAAAGTGACAAAGTTGATAGCTGAGAAAAAAAAATTCAAACCCAAACTCACAGCCATACAGTCAATGCCGACTCATCGCGACCCCAAAGGACAGGGTAGAACAGCCTCTGTGAGTTTCTGAGATTGTAACTCTTTGAAGAGTAAAAAGCCCTGTCTTTCACCCACAGAGCAGCTGGTGGTTGTGAATTGCTGACCTTGTGAACAGTGGAGATAGCTATATAAAAATCTGTGTCTTGCTCACAATTTTCCTTTTGTTCTATCTATCCTGTAGCTTCTTTCCCTTCTTTTTCTGACATCTATTGTGTTTGTTCAAATCTTCAAATTCTTCTTCCTTGGTACACTTGTGATTTAGTACTTATCAAAATTGTTATTTGTTGCTCAAATGTGCTAACTCTCATCTGTCATTAATCAGAGTCAAATAGTTGTTGTTAGGTGTCATGGAGCCGGTTCCAATTCAGTTTCCTTGAAGGCCTTTCTCTTTGTCACTACTCCCCAACTTTACCAAGTGTGATGTCCTTTTTCAGGACTGATCTCTCCCGACAACATGTCCAAAGTATGTAAGACAAAGTTTCCTCATCTTTGCCTCTAAGGAGCACTCTGGTCGTACTTCTAAGACAGACTCATTTGTCATTTTAGCCACAATGCAATTACACCAATTCTTCTTTAGTCTTCCTTATTCAATGGTCAACTTGCACACAAATATGAGACAATTGAAAATCCCGTGGCTTGGGTCAGGCATTCCTTAGTTCTCAAAATTACATACTTGCTCTTCAATATCCTAAAGAGGTCTTGTGCAACAAATTTACCCAATGCTATGCATCTTTTGATATCTTGATTACTGCTTCCCTGAGCATTAATTGTAATACAAGCAAAACAAAATCCTTGACAACTTTCTCCATTTAACATGATGTTACCTATTGGTCCAGTTGTGAGTCAAATAGTATAAAAACACAAAAAATAATCATATATTGACTTATATGTAAAGACCACAGATATTTCCAAGTCCTCTCACAAATTTTTATACTATTTTTGTCATAACCTATATTAATTTGTTCTATAAACATACCACACTGCTTTTGTTATATATCTAGCCATTTATCATTATGAGCAATAAAAAATAAGGAAAGAAAAATTAATTTTAATCTTCACTTTTTCTAGTTGGAGCTTCATTTGTTTGTATAGACCTAGTATTCAGCTGAATATTATATTCTATCTGCCTGAAAAATTGCTGTTAGGCAGGGATCTGAAGAGAAACAAACCAGGACACATGATTATAGATATATATATGAGGATAGATTTTATAGCATAAAGGAATATAACAGCTAATTAGTCCACATAGCAGTATAGATGGCTAAGTTCAACTCACTTCCATGGAACAGTTAATATACTGGGAGTCCTTCAACTCATGAGGGCTGCTGGATCCAAGGTCATGGAAGCAGACAGCTAAGTCTTCCCTCGGGCAATGCAGGCAGTCTGCCCACAGGCCACAAACAGCAGGGCAGGTCACCAACAATCTTAGGAGCGTAGTGAACCAGGCCCAGATGGGATAATGGGATATTGAAGTCAAGTGATACAAGAGGACAGCATCCACCAGCCTCAAGCTCATGAGATGTATACACCAGCAGCAATGTATACACCAGCAGCGTGGCAAAGCAGGTCTTGAAGGAACCTAAATCTCTAGCTACACAATCCATGGGTTGGCTGTCCCACAGGTAGTGTAGCTCACAAGTTGAGGCAGATAACTCACTAAAGCAGCCACAAGCTGGTCCAATCACCAAAGAGCAAGAGAGAGAGAGGCAGGCCTTACTGAGCCATTTATCTCTTTGCCCTCCAATCAAACTGTGACCTGATTAATCCCACATGTTTCTATTGGCCAGGTTGATGCAATAAACCTATCACAATTGTTTTAACATTTTTTTTCAATAAGAGGTGCGCAGGACAATAGCTTATCTAAGTTTTGATTGCAATTGCCTTTGCTTTCAAAAGATTTTCATTGGATATAGAGATCTGTGTTGACTTCTTTTGTTATTGTTCTTTCAACACTAAAATGTCTGTGGTGGTTATAGTTATGTATCAGCTTGGCAGGACCATGATTCTCAGTGGTTTGGTAGTTATGTAAGGATTTATTCCCCAGGATGTGATTTGATGTGAGCAGTCAAACAGTTGTAAGGAGATTAGGGTAGAATCCAACACCCTTCCTCAGGTCACAGCTTTGATCTATTGTAAGTGGATATTCCCTTGGGTAATACCTAAATCACCTTTTATCATACGAAAGCTAAAACGAATAAGAAGCAAACCAAGAAGGTGAGAGCTCAGTATTCCAAAGAAAGAAGAGCCAGGAGCAGAGGGTGTTTTTTGGAGCTGGGTTCCTGTGCTGAGTACCACCGAGATACAGGGGTTGATTGATGCTAAGGCACATGAAGGTCTTCAAGGAAGACCAGGCCTTCAGGGCCATTCCCCCAGAGCCAACACAGAGTATACAACCGTCCCTGAGTCCCGGCACCCTGAATTTATACTTCTAGAGAAAATAAACACATTTGTTAAAGCCATCCTTTGTAGTATTTCAGTTACAGATCTCACTGATCGTCATCAAGTCAATGCTGACTCCCTGTGGGTTTCGGAGACTGTAACTGTGTACAGGAGTAGAAAGTCCAGCCTTTCTCCTAAGGAGCTGCTGTTGGTTTGGAACTGCCGACCATGCAGAATGCAGCCCAACCCATAACCACTACACCACCAGGGCCCCTAAAACATTGTCTTCTAGAAAACACAGTCTCTGATGAGAAATCTGCTACCATTTTTAACTCTATATCAGGTATCTCTCTCTGGCTGCCATCAAGATTTTCTTAGTCTTTTGTCTACGATCATTAATTTTGGGATTGTCTTGGCCATTATTTCTTCATATAGACATTTCTTCTGCCTCATGCTTTCTCTTCTCCATCTGTGATTTCACTTACACGTATGTTAGAGGAGTTGATGTTATCACACAGCTCTTAACTACACTGCTCTAGTTTCTACCCCACCCCATGTTTAAGTTTGTATAATTTACATCAGCTTCTCTTCATGCTTACTTATTCTCCCCATGTCTTTTCTCTGTGATTTACATTCCTACCATTTCCACATAGTTCGTCTCAATAGCTTCCATCTTTTTGCCGAAACTATCCACCTGAATTTGCATGGTGTCCACCATTTCTGTAATATAGCTTTTTAAAATTTCATGTCGGCTAGTCAAAAATCTGGTTCTAAAATTTCCTCTGTCACTTGGGAGTGTGTTGTGTTATTCTTGACTTTTTGTATGCCTTATTTTTTGCAGAAATCCAAGTAGGTCACGTAGAAATAGAAAAATTAAAGTAAATAATGTGTGTATGTGGAAATAAGCAAGGCTTTTCTTCAGCTAGAACTGAAAACTCCTGAAAAGGAACTACCAGTTGTTTTGATGGAAAGGGATTCCCCTTCCAAACAATGACTCGCTCTCTAAACCTTCTCTCCATATCTGTGTCCAAGGATGCAGATCCTCATCAATCTCAAGGTATGGGCCATACTAACGTTGCTAAAAACTTCTAAATGTTGTGTTTCTTATTTAAATTATATTATTGAATTCTGAACTTATTTACTTAAAAATTTCTGTGCAATGTTTTGGATAAAAAGGCAAGGTTGAGAACAGATTAATACATTTTCAATTATTTCGTAGGGGGAAAATTGATTCGGAACTCAACTGCATTGCATTTCGATGCTCCTTTTAGAACGGATTAGCATCAAGGTCCCGGGTTCTACTGTAGTCTCTTTTTCTACTTATTCCAGCCTCCC